ACCCTAGAAAGTTCATCAAAGTCCATCCAGAAAGAATTGTCATACGAAAAAGTTTCCAGAGAAAGAAATACACAAAAACATACAGCATAACAACATGGAAAAGCTTATCATTAATTGATGGAGTCTGAAATTATAATGAGGATGACTGAACAAACATCAAAACAAACTTCACAAGAGTTTTAAAATGAGCTTGAATCCTTGGATGTTAAGTGTATAAAACTTCTCTAGTTATCTCAAAATGGAAATTCAATTGCACAATACGGGGGAAGGGAGCAGTACTACTTCAAAGAATACTGCTCTTCAATTCAGAATGTACTTCCCATGAAAAATATCAGTCTCATGAAGTACTAGTCAAAAGACAAATTTAAGATAAAAAGATAAAATTAGAAACAAATAAAAGTAATATCATTCTCTATGCTTGGGAAAAGATACGTGTGAACTATATAAAAAAGAACAAAATAGACTTCATTGTATTACAAATGACAATATAAAAATCAAAACTCGTCATTACAGACCTCAGTGCCAACACCAGCATCAACCCATCTCCTAGTAATGGTTGTAACTCGTAGTTTTGTTTGCCCATCAGGGCTCTGATAACTGCACAGCCAAGAACCAACAAATTTTGGTTACACGATAACATCTTCTTTTTCTAGTATACCCTCACAATATAAATTGAATACAGAATGTTCTATCCATCAAAAGTTAAGTAAATCTCAGGTTACATTAACTGTTTTCAAAAGAAATAGTAACAATTAAAAAAAAGTAGAGCTGAAGTTTTCTAAGCACCTTGTAAGAAACTGTATGTACAATTGTGGATTTATATTGCCTGAAGGATCTGACTTCTCACTAGATGAAACATCATAGAAAACTGTCAAGCAAGTGTTTTTGTCGAGACCACAGAGCTTCCAAGCTGTAGTATTCCCCTCACCAGTAACTGTGCTGGAGACGGCAGGTCCTTTCTGCATAAGACTACATGATCAGTATCAAATAATTTCTGAAAATGTCATATTCGAGGATAAATCTTGGTTTACCAGGTCGATTCTTTCAGGTTAGCCGTCTAATATTAGGTCAATGTATTACGGCTGAGAATGTGAAAAACTAAAGTACACCAACCTTCTCAAGAGATGTGCAAGGACCAATTATCCCTTGAATTTTAATATCCTTGGAGCAGTTGATCTCTAATGTAGCACTAGAACAAAATTAATTCATCAGATTCATGATCAAATAGTTGAAGAAAAATAAAGCACATCCAAGCAGAAGAGAGACGTATCATTTTAAGAAATACTCACTCTACAGAATACAAGCAAGATAACTTCAAATATTTACCTCTCAAACAGTCCAAATATGGACATCCCTAGCTTAATGGAAGTCTGCCCTCTCCTTCCCTATCCCCTAAGAAACCCTTCTCGCTCTTCTATTTAAGGTAAGAGTAAAGGAAGGGCATTTTGGGGCTTATGCAGTTCAACATTGGGGATAATGCGTTGTTTGTGAAGGTGGTATATAATAATGTTGGTAATAAAATTGGGGCGAACATTTTAAATGTTACCAAATAGAAAGAATTTCACATAATTGGGACATAACTCAATCAGTTTTTCACCCAAAAAGTCCATTTCTTCTCCGCAATTCCCTTATCTCATCTTCAATGTTAACAACCCGAGCTTCATTCTATCCTCAGAGAAGAAGCTAGCTGGTGGAATAGTCGCTCATACATTGGTTATTTGTGCTGAATTTCTACATCAAATAGTTATTCTTGAAACATATCCTTCTCTATTATTTATTTCTAGAACTTGTGATGATGCTAAGTTTTAGACATCTATGCAATTGACAAAGATGCTTTATCAAGTTCTTTAATAGTGCCTGGTTCACTTAACAGCTCACAGTGTCCCAGCTAGAAGAAGGAAATTTCCAACCATGAACTTGAAAATATTTCAACAGTCACAATAACCATATTAAATGGATAAATCATAACCCTTTCACATGAAGGAAAATAAATGACATATCAAAAAGCTCACTTGAAGCAAAGCCCAAGAGACTGTTCACCAACTTCAAATACACGCTTGAAGGAATCTTTGAAAACAGAATGCCCAAAGCTTTCAGCAAGAACAACTTGTCCTCCAGTCTTTTCAATAGCTACTTTCATCTCTGCAACTCCAACCTAAAAAAACAATACTAGTCAAAAAATAGCATCTCTTATGAATCGATCAGATTCATCAATAAGTCAAGAGACCTCTCTAGTAAGGGATAGAGTAAAGTTTTCACATTCAATTGATGAGGCTAATAATACTAAAAATCAAAATATACCCGCACCAAGAAAAGAAAATGCTTACACATTAATATATTTTTCGATAATTTAACAGATAAACCTAAATAACTAAATACTGTCCAGGATAAAATGCTTCATCTGAAAGTGAACACCAGTTTTTATTTTAATTAAGGACAAGTGAACACCAGTCTCTTGCACCAAAAGCTTATAAGACAAACAACACAGTTCATGGAGACAAGTGGTTGATCAAGTCAAACCTGGTCCAGTGCTGAAGCAAAAACATCTAAGATGTGACCATGACTAACGAGTTGCTTTGCGAGTTCCTCGTAGAAATGAACAGCCTTTCTAAAAAATGGTGCAGCATCCTTGTGTAGATCTTTATGAGAACGAACAGGTTCTGATAAATCCTTCGACACAATCTACAAAAACAAACAAAAAAGGAAAAGAAAGTCACTTAAGAAGCATTGTTAGGCAAACTTTCTTCAGAATGAGGCCAAGTTCAATTGATTGTTTAAATTTCATGCAAAAAGAAGTCTCTTAAATCATTTGACTTGCTAACCTATTAAATTTCCTGGTTAGAAATCTGGCCTCAACGTATAGGGTGATTATTCAGGAGCCTTAAGAGGAGAAAGGGAGGGCTGGCAGAGACCAATTTAAGTGGCGAACAGAATGCTTAAAACAAGATAAATATGCATATTAAGTTCTTGTTGTTGAAGTACCTTATGATCCTCATCTTCTTAACTCACTAAGATATCCTATATATCAAGTTATTCTTGAGGAAAAAAAATGTTTAGTGAAGGTATAGTACACGTGATTTGGTTGGACAAAAGTTGAAATCCTATATACAATTAACCCAAATTTTAGTTATCGAATGATACCAATGCTAATCTAATACTACTCATCTGCTACGAAGGTTTACTGCAGAAGGCAATGATAAGCCAAATAGTCTCCTTCATGGATAAGCAAGGAGCACAACATTAAAGAGTGTGTGAAAGACAGGAGGAGACTGATTGGTGACAATGGTGCTTTTATAACAGCTAGAAGTGATTGCCTTGAAGGCATAAGAATATTAAAAATCCTTCCTTTTCCAGAAGAATTTAGATTGTGCACAATCAGACAATAAAAAATGTAATCATTTGTCAATAAGAAATCATTCAAACACTCAAAAATTCCCCAGTAACTCCTTAGGATATTGGAATTCGTAGATCACTAAGAACAAAACAGAGCGAAAACAAAGTCAAAACTCACCGCGCCAGGTCCTTCAGTGCAAGGACCCCCAACTAATGCAACAATTCGAGCACCTGCCCCAGCCAAACAAGCACCAAGCAGACCAGTTGCCACACTCAATGCCACCCCAGTGCAGCGTGATGCTCTGTTTCCCGGTGTCACAGGCCATTGATCCGTATTCAATTCATCTAGCAACTAAAAAAACAACACACAAGAACAAAATCAACATTAAATTAACAACAGCTACACCACTCAAAGTCTCAAAGCAATCAAAAAGACAGCATTTTTAACCAACAAAGAACTCACCGAATCGAGTGTATACTCACACTCAGAAGCAGGTAACAAGAACCTAGTCAACCCGTGATTAGGTCCACCATTCACCCCACCACCCCCAACGCCACCACCACCACCCTTCCTACCACTAATACTACCAAGTCCTAACTGATCCAAAACTTGATCTTTCGACAAGTCCTTCGAACCCTGAAACACAAAAACCTTCGACATATCCGAAAACCCAAGTTCATGTACCTGCACCTGTGTACCATACGAAATAAACCCAACCATAGCATAATCAGGCAAAAGTCCAATAACCCTTTTCAATGCAGATTTAGCAAACTCCAATTCTTCATCCAACATACAAGTATCCAACACAAACAAATACACAGGTGGAGAATTATGACCACCAGGGTTCTGAATCGCATACTGAATAGTAGTAAATTGTGGATAAAGCTCAGCAGGTACATTCGTTTCCGAAATTCCCGAATAATGCTGAGGGAAATGATTACGTTGGAAACAAAACGGACAGATCCAAATTAAAGCTTGAAAATCAACACGGCAAAAGGGGTTTAAGATTGATGAACAAGTTTTGCAACGAAGGGGGGCGTAAGGTAGGGTAGGTAGATCAGGGAAAGGACGAAGCAATTGAATTGACGAAGCAATTGGGATTATACATTTGCTTGCTTCAACTTTGGTTCTTGGCCAAGAATTCCATGTCATACGAACTCCATCGATGCCTTCTGGGTCTGTTTGTGCCATTTCAGTCGCCATTTTTGAAGGGTTTTTGAGAGATTTGGGAATGACCCAGATGGAGAAAAGAGATAAAGATTGAGAATTTGGGAATTTTGGGGGGTTTGGTTAATGTGAATGAATCTGGAATTTTGATTTTGTATTGCTACATTATATGATCATTCTGTATTAATCCCCATTGTTTGATGAAAGCAAGAAATTGAACCTTATTGTATTAAAAAATTATATTTTTCCCTAAAAAGAACACCTATTTACCTTTTTTGTTCTTTTTGAGTTTTAGTCAAATACTATTAATTACTTCTTACATTTCAATTCGTTTGTCGTATTTTAACTTAACATAACATTAGAAATAAATCATATTTTTACATTTTATGATCTTAAACTAAAAATATACGGCTACACAGATACCTTAAACATGTGGAAAAAATTGAAATTAAAATCTGGAACTATCTTTAGACTTAAAAACTCAGTCACATAGCTAAGAACTCTTTAGAACTCTCCAGATTTCTTTAACACTTCATCATTTCATAGAACACTCTAGACCCCCAGAGTGACCTTCTTATATATAAATCCACAAGCTGCAATGCATTTCTCAGCAAATCTTGAAAACCCCACATTTTCAATCTGCATTTTGCTTGAACTTTACTATCTTTTGAGCTTTTTAACAAGAAATTGTGAATACCCTTTACATTCTTTAGTACTAAGAAGGAAGCTATGGATGAGGATTTTGAGTTTCCAGTATCTTCTTCTAACAATGCTGCTGCTGAAGAAATGGATATGGATATGGGGATGGGGGTGGATGATTTCTCTGAACCTGACCCGATTATGAAGGTTGATGAAGAGAAGGAGATAGGGAAAACTGGGATAAAGAAGAAGCTTTTGAAAGAAGGTGAAGGTTGGGATCATCCTAGTAAAGGAGATGAAGTTGAAGGTGAGTTATGTCCTTGTAATCTATGTTGAAAGAAAGGTTTTTTTTGAAATTAATTGGTGGTTTGAATGATGCATTATGCATGTATTTGGATTAAAGGATTGATCATTTTAGCAAAAATGAGCTTTCTTTAATTGGTGATTTCAATTTATGGAGTCATTTTCCATACTAGTAGTTGTAGTATTATTGCTCCTGTAGTTTATTGTCATTTGATATGTTACTGTTTGTTGTTGGTGTTTATTCTTTTTCTGGACTGCTTTAGATTGATTTTCGTTTAGCGAGTGTCTATCAGAAATGATCTCTCTACCTATACACATCACCCTTCTCAAATCCCACTTTGTGACACTAGACTGGGTATATGTTGTTGTTGTTGCTGCTTGAGATGAGATCGAATGGAGCTACATTATCAGGATCCATGTAGTTGATCCCAATTTGTATATCCATCCCCAATTACTTTCGAATTGAGGTGTAGTAGTTGTTGGTTTGAGATGATAGAATTATGCAAGTTTTTGGCCTTACAATATTGGTTTGAGATAAGATCTAATGGAGTTGACATGATCGGGATTGAGGCATAGTAGTTGTTGTAATAAATTGGTGTTTCTTATGATAGAATTATGCAAGTTTTTGGCTTTAATTTGGATGAGGATGAAATTATGCTTGGATTAACAATATTCTATTGGTCTTTACAGTTCATTATGTGGGTACATTGCTTGATGGAACTCAATTTGATTCAAGTCGTGATCGTGGCACCCCGTTCAAGTTTAAGCTTGGCGAAGGTAATCTCCTTTCTGTTAGAAAATTAGTGGTTTGGTATAGTTTGGTTTATGAACGTGTTAGTGTCATTCATCGTGTTAGATGGAGTACTGCGCTTCCTTATATGCTTTCGGTGTTCCATTAGAGCTAGGCCATTTCCAATTTATTGTTTACCATATGTCTCTCACATTGATTTGGTGTGGGATGGATCAACATGCTTCTTTAAATGGTCTTAGGCAACCCTCGAGCTAGTCTTTGGGGTTAGTTAGGCCCAAAGTCCATTTTCTTATCAGAACGAACTTAGTTTTAGCCTTTAGGGAAGGCATGTGACAATTGATATCGAATTTGATTTTTCATTCTTTAAAGTATATAGTGGTTCTTATATATATAGTTTTGATAAGTGCGATTAGAGGTTTGATGGATTGTTGTTATTGTTATAGGACAAGTGATTAAAGGGTGGGATGAAGGTATAAAGACAATGAAAAAAGGGGAGAAAGCTTTGTTCACTATACCTCCAGATATGGCATATGGTGAATCTGGATCCCCTCCAACTATACCTCCGAATGCCACTTTACAGTTTGAAGTGGAATTGCTTTCTTGGATTAGTGTCAAAGACATATGCAAGGATGGTGGAATATTCAAGAAGATACTTGTCGAAGGAGAGGGATGGCAGAATCCGAAAGATCTTGATGAAGTGTTTGGTTAGTAGACTATCAAAATTTCACGTTCTCCGTTGTGTTTTTTCTTCTCAAGAACCTTAGTTGATGTGATTTCCTTTATTGGTTTCTTGATTGCAGTTAAATACGAGGCTAGCCTTGAGGATGGAACAGTTGTGTCAAAATCCGATGGAGTGGAATTTACTGTGCAAGATGGTATCTTTTGCATTCATTTTTGCTATGTTTCTCAGTCTTCAAAAATGTTGATGGATGCGTATTGGATCCTCCCCCGATGCAGCAACATTTTTTGGAGAGTCCGAGCAACATAGCTGGTTTGGCTCTTTTTACTCTCCTTCTGAAGTAGAATTAATAACATTAATGTGGTCTTCTCTGTATAGGCTATTTCTGTCCTGCTTTGTCGAAGGCTGTTAAGACGATGAAGAAAGGAGAGAGAGTTTTACTGACAGTGAAGCCACACTGTAAGTTAAATCCCTTTGTGCTCTAGATATGTTCTTTGTATTCTTTTATGTGATGATTAACTGATGTTTCTGCAGATGCATTTGGAGAGACGGGTAAGGTGGCAAGCGGAGACGAAGGTGGTGTCCCACCAAATGCCATCCTTCAAATAAATCTTGAATTGATTTCTTGGAAGATTGTCTCTGAAGTAACAAATGACAAGAAGGTTCTGAAAAGAATTTTGAAGGAAGGAGAGGGCTATGAGCGCCCAAATGACGGTGCTCTTGTAAAAGGTATGAAAAAAGAGAAACTACTTGGTGATCACGATACAGATAGAGATTTATGATTATCCTTCTGTATTAATTTGCTTATTCTTGCAGTGAAATTAATCGGAAAACTTCAGGACGGAACTGTTTTTGTGAAGAAAGGACATGATGAGGAGGAGCCGTTTGAGTTTCAGATAGATGAAGGTAATGTCTTTTCTCTACTGATTATGCCAATTATTTGATAAATTTTCACTAATATCTTTTTTCTATCTACAACTAGCATAGTTTCTGACTTCAGTTGAATTCTTTATGCAGAACAAGTAGTCGATGGACTAGAAAAAGCGGTGAAAAAAATGAAGAAGGGCGAAATTGCTCTGATAACAATTCAACCAGAGTATGCATTTGGTGTATTCGACTCTCCTCAAGAATTAGCTATTGTTCCTGGCAATTCGATCGTGTATTATGAAGTTGAGTTGGTGTCATTTGTGAAGGTTGGTGCTCTTGAATTTTCTTTGTTTTCCTTATCTTAAGCAAGTGACAAGGAAGCAGCGGTGGAACTAAGGGGGCAGAAGGGGTTCACTCTGAATCCCTTCGTTGATAAATTACACTATATAGACAAGGCCAAAAGTATCTGTTTTCTAGTCTAGAAATAGTAGATGTTGAATCCCTTGGGTTCGTTATGTTTGTTTTTTATATTTTGAATATTCTCAGTGAAAATCCTGGCTCCGCTACTATTGGGAAGAGTAAGACGTCTTATATTAATGATCAAATAACTTAAACTGCAGGAGAAGGAATCCTGGGATATGAATACTCAGGAAAAAATTGAAGCTGCAGGAAAGAAAAAGGAGGAAGGAAATGTATTGTTCAAGGCCGGGAAGTATGTGAGAGCATCAAAGAGATACGAAAAGGTAAATTTACGGTTGAAGTTGATGAAAAAACAGTTTTATGACCTTAATATGATGACATAGTGTTGACTATGCTCCTTTATACTGTTCAGGCCGTGAGCTTCATCGAATATGACTCCTCGTTCAGTGATGACGAGAAGCAGCAGGTAAAACTGCTCAAAGTTAGTTGCAATCTGAACAATGCCGCGTGCAAGCTGAAACTGAAGGAATACAAAGAAGCAGCAAAACTCTGTTCTAAAGTCTTAGAGATTGACAGTAAAAATGTCAAAGCTCTATACAGAAGGGCTCAAGCTTACATACAACTCGTCGATTTGGACTTAGCAGAACTTGATATCAAGAAAGCACTTGAAATCGATCCAGATAACAGGTAAAAAAAGATTGTCTTTTTCTATGTTCCTCGTACCTTCCACAAATATTAGTGCACCCTCATTAGATCCTCCAAAATACATAGCTTTCGGAGGACTCACCTGACGATATTTTTGAAGAGAACGAGCAACATAGCATTTAAACCATATATTATTGTGCTTATACTGTGATATGGATGATTCAGGGATGTCAAGTTAGAATACAAAGTTTTGAAAGAAAAGATAAAGGAGTACAACAAGAAGGATGCTCAATTTTATGGCAACATATTTGCAAAGATGAACAAATTAGAGCAAGTAAGCTGACAAAATGACACTAATGAATAGTTATTGTATTTCAGATTAGATACTGATTCTGTTACTGAATGTAAATGCAGAGTGGAGAAGCAAAAAATGAGGCAGCACCAATGGCTATAGATAGTAAGGCTTAACCAAGTACATGACACAAATTATGGGATTAATGTCTCTTCCATAGTGTGCAGTCAAAAAGACATATATGTAGTTTTTGTTGTCATTGAACTTGGTTGTACTTGAGAAAGTGTTTTGAGAAATGCATAATAAATAATCTTATCTTTATATACTTTGACTGAGCATGGAGCTTAAGAGATAAAAGGGTGATTTTTGAATATTGTGGTTTTAAATTTGTTATGGAATGTAGGACTCGAAAAACATACTAAACATAGAAAGAGACATTCTTGTTGAGATAGATCATATGAAAAAGTAAGGTATATATAACTTAAACCCTTTTAGTATTATGCAATAATCTAATTGAATGTACGACTAAGCTTGCCAAGAAGTATTCTTTCACTATATATACATTGTAATTGTAAAATTTTGACTCTAAAATCGAACCATATCATATAAATTGGACCAGAAAAAAGTAAGTTACTTGAAGTCGCAACAATAACTCATAAAATAAGAGCAACTTCATTAGGTAAAAACTCCAAATTGCATACATTATAACTAAAATACAAAAATCACAACAAAACCTCCTAGATAATAGAGGTTTATTCATTGGCAATGTCAAACAATTGAACACATACACACACATGAGTATGTGTCCAAATGAAGATAAACATGCCTTATTTTCTTAAAAGGACAAAAAAACCAACAACATATATTTAGGACACAAAATGATCAATCAATTCTTGATATCATCTTCAAATACAGCATCAGGTGTTTGATGAGCAGTGTAACAACATTTTGCACATCCATTGCCATAACGGAACCCACGGCAACAACCATATCGGCAACCTCTCCATGGATATCCGTTACGTCCTCCTCCTCCTCCTCCTCCTCCTCCACGTCCAGGGTAGCCCCCACCATTTCCAGGGTAGCCCCCACCACGTCCATTCCCCGGGTATCCACCACCTCCGAGCTGAGCTTCTTGTACATCACCACTCGCCTTGTTTTCTTCTATAGATCAACAACAAGCAGAAAGAATGAAAGACAAATTCATAATTTAAACTTAATAGTTTCGTGAATAGTTACTATGGTATGTATGTTATATATGTTATGAGTTCTTTGTCCTCACTAGTTCAAAACTACTTCCCATTTTGGACATCATTAGTATTTGCAAATATTAACTATAATAAAAAAAAAATTAAAAAGAATTAGCGACGAAAAACTTCTATTGTTCTATATATCTATGTAAATATAAATAATAATTTCTATAACTTAAGTTTAATTAACAATTGAGAATAATTACTTACTTTGAGTAGATGAAGCTCCCACTTGGAAAGAAATAAGGACAATAGCAAGCAAAAGACCAAAAATGAGCAAATTTTTTGTTGAAGCCATTTTGAAAAATAATTGTTTTTAAGTATCTAAAAGATATAGAGTATAGTGTGATGGATCAAATGAAATGAACCAAAATTCTATTTATAGAGCACAAAAAATCTTACTATTTAATTTAAAGGATTAAAGATTTGCTGGCGTTGAAGATTTCACGTGAATATAAGTATGGGACTTGTCATTTTTATTTTTATTTTAATGATATTTTGGACCAAATTAAAGGCTTCTGAATATTATTAGAGTCCCCACACTTCCATACAGCGACTCTGATGAAAAAAATGGTTTTAAAAATATTTTTTACTTCAATAATTGTTCTTTCGTCATGCATGATGCTCTCTTTTACTACTACTATACCAAAAAAAAATTATAATATTATTGAACTTATATCTTTATTTGAATTTTGGGCGTATTTTTGTAAGACTAAAAATAACACCAAAAAGAGAAAAGAGAGAGTAAAGCATAGTATTCCTATGATAAAATAAACATTTTTGTGTCGGTAATCTGTAACGTCCAGACAGATGTGTGCTCGACCTAATGACTCCAAGGACACAATTTACATTCAAACATTACTCAACGGTTTATAGGATTTTACATTTTACTGTATCGCATTTTGCGTTATGTTCTTCGTTTGATGTGAGAATTCAGATATCTATTGCCGAGAGTCATTTTAAAATTAGAAAACATGATTCAAATAAAGTTTATTTTTTAAGAAAAAAAAAAGGTCTATTTGCACAAGTCTTATCGATATATAGTTGTCAACTAGATTTGAACTGTAGTAAAAGGGTCAAAGGCAACATCTCCCCAACTACTTTGTTAATTTAAAAAATAAAATATTTCAAAAGTTTGTGAAAAATTCATAGTGTCAAATTATGGGCTTTTAAATGATAATACTAGTACTATTTTAGTCTCATTTATGTGTTGTACTTATTTTCTTAATTTAATAAAAAAACAATTTTAAATTTTTATTTTACTAGTAATAAAATGATAACTATACAAATATTTATAACTTATTGTATCACAAGTTTAACAAAAAAATAAAAATAAAAATTATGTCCAGCCAAATAGTTTTGAATACATTAGGATAAAGAGAGTAATAGTACTTTTAAAGTACTAGACACAATAATATATATTTTTCGAATAAATAAGAAAAAGATGCTTGAAAACAACTTTACAGAAAGTATTAATTGAAGCATAGAGGCGTATGAGATATGGGATAAGATTTGGAATATATGCAAATCGATAAATTTATAAGTCAACCTTTAATAAATTTTCCTCCAAATCACAAAAGCCCAATGTATTTGACCTTTTCAAATCTCAATTATTTTTTACAATATTTCATTTAGCATTTGATAATCATTTTGAACTCGACTAATATAAATTTGTATCAAAAAGATTTATTTAAAAATAAAAGATTTTTTATTAAAAATAATTCTACGTTCAAGACTGAAATTCAAGACCTTTCATAATTTTTTTATGATAAATGTCAATTATTTTCATAAGTATCGATCTAAATTCGTCGGCCATGCAAACTCATGCACGTGATGACCTTTAGAAGCTATTTGGACAAATAAGAATTTGTCCGAAGGAAAACAAGATAAATACACCCTTCAACTTTATGATTCAGAGCGGATATATTTTTTTTTTATTAAAAATTGATGCATATAAGTTATAAAACACTATAACTCTTATCATCTAACAAATTGTGCATCCTCGTTGTCTAATAAATAATACATATTTATCCTCTCATTTTTATTAGACCTAAATTTATTGAGTTAACTTAAATCCTCAAACTGATTTTTTATTCCAAAAATGTTACGTGAATTAAAAAAATTATCTCATCCATATAAATGTTCCTAAAAATATCAATTAAAGGGGTCATTTAACCTTCTACTTTCGGTGTAGATTATAGATATATAGGTAAAAAATTAACTAAAATTGCAATAAATATTAGATATGAACACATAACTTTTAAAATATAAAAATTCAATATTAATCTTTATAGATTGAACTCATAAAAAATAAATTTTAGACATGCGTTTAAATTGGATCAACTATTTTTAATAAGTACGACAATTAAAATAGATCAAAGGGATATACGTGGAAATATTTTTGCAAGATGTGTGCACAAAATTGATGGATCTAATTAAGCGTAGAATATACAAATTCACAATTTTTATTTTTATTTTTATTTTTATTTTTATTTTTTGCGGCCTTTAAGTTTTAATTATATTATAATCCTGTCATGAAAACGAGCGACACTGATTTATTTAATTCCGTATATGTTTATGTAAAGATAAATTTATATAGTGTTTTATTTTAGGACTCTTCCTTAAAAAATGATTTTTTTTTCTTCCTCGGAAGCTCTCACTTTTTTTGTTCTCTTGATGACTTGAACTTACAATTTTTTGGTAGAAAATGTGAGAGACACTTGTCACCCAAGCAATTCACTCTTATCTCTTTAGAAAATATTACTCTCCTCTCCGTTCCAAGATAAATATGAGTAGCTTTTTTCAAGTTCGAAAATCAATAAATACAAGATATTATGTACTACTAAGCTATATTTATTTATTACAATTTTTTTAGAATTAAGTATTAGTAAGAAAAACTAAAGTGACAATCATTTTGGGATCACATAAATTAAACTCCTAGAGCGATATTTGATTTGAGACAGAGAAAATAGTAACAACGTGTAGTTAAGGGCGGAGACCAAAAGAAATTTACGGTGAGTTCGATCAAGTTCAATAAATTTAATTGTCTTTGCTCTAAATCCTATATTTGTGTTATGATTTGAGTTGCTATAATTATAGGAGTAATATTTGTGTAAGAATATGTCAAAAGTTTAAATGCCTTCTTGATTTTATAAATTATTAATTATTTTAAATTAATTTTAGAGGCTAAAACATCAATTATTTTGAACCAAAGAGAGTAGAAGTTCTCAACCATAAATGCAATGGTTATCCAAAAAGAAGAGGAAAAAGTACTCTTTAAATCTATCCAACTGCCAACTTAATTACTTGGCTCCATTAATTAATGTCATCTTCAAATCTTTGCATTTTCAATGCTTAGATCATGCTATAAATAGAGGCAAAATATTCACTAATTTCCTCATCCTTTTTCACTCTAAATTATCACAACCTAAATATAGTAAGTTATCAAGTAAGAAAAAAAAATGGGATTAAAGGCTTTTATACTTCTAAGCCTTGTTTTGGCTATTTTTGCAATTGTAACCTCAGATGTTGCTGCTGGGGAGTTGGCTGAGAGCTCCACTACTACTATGGAAAATAGTAAGCGTATAACTTTCCTTTTATAATGACCTAATTCCTTATATTAATTCATATCATATCACACAATATGTATGTAGCAAAATAATATGTGTTCGGTAACTGGTTTGGAGGTGAGTTATGCAGGTACTAAAATATGCATAGATAATATCATGGTTGGTATAGTTGGTTAGGAGGTAAGTTATGCGTGCATAAAATTAATTAATACAGTATTTAGTTTGCAATATAGAAAGTCGAATAACTAATACATGTATAAGTTATGAAGGAATCTATGTATTTTATGCGGAATAGAATTAAGGTGGAATGAATAACTAAATCCTACATAACTAATACACGCATAAAAATTCATAGATTCTCTCATAACTACTTCCCGTATTACTAATATCTACATTTTAAAGTTACGTGGCATAGTTTGACTCAGGACGAATAAGTTTAATTGGAGAAAATGATTTTTAAAATGTGTGGTCGTTTTGCACATACATAGCATTTGCATGACTATAAAACTTATGTAACTTGTACTCTTAAATATGTCATCATTAATATCTCATAAGCTACTAATATACTTTTTTGTCATAGTGAGAATCGGATCGCCCTATATATATATGTGTGTGAACTTTTCAAAAATTCAATAAATATTAAATTTTGAACTTACATATATATTGAATTCATACTTGCAATGAATTCAAATGATAAGTACTTAAAAGTTGAATCCGTTGAATTTAAATTCTGAATCCTCTAGTAATGATATCAAATATACACCTAACATGCACATGTATGATTTTTATTGCAGCAAAGAAATCTGAGAAGAAAAATGAGGTAAATGATGCTAAATATCCTGGAGGAGGTTATGGAGGAGGAGGATACCCTGGTGGTGGTCGCGGAGGTTATGGAGGGTATCCTGGTGGTGGTGGTGGTCGTGGAGGTTATGGAGGGTATCCTGGTGGTGGTGGTGGTCGTGGAGGTTATGGAGGGTATCCTGGTGGCGGTGGTGGTCGTGGAGGTTATGGAGGGTACCCTGGTGGTGGTCGTGGACGTGGAGGTGGAGGTGGAGGTGGATACTGCTCCTATGGCTGTTGTGAAAGGAATTACTATGGTAATGGTTGCAATAGGTGTTGTTACTCCAAAAGTGAAGCCATGAATAAAGTCACCCAAGCTAAGCCTCACAACTAAAATTACTAAGTTATAAGCAATATTTATGAAGTGTGTGTTTTAGTAGTATGTAAAATAGTTTTAATTTGTTGTTGGGAGTTTGAATAAATGTAGCTTCCATTCACTTCATGTGGATGGATGGTCAAATGTTATCTTTTCATTTGTACGTACTTGCTCTTTTCATATATATGTTTGAATGTAATTAATATATTACAATAAGGTCCACATAAAGCGCGTCGCTAGTTGGTAAGATCTGCTTACTTATATACTCAATATGTTTTTTATGTTTTGTCGATATAGACTTCTTATTTTAAAATGGGACGTCACATACATCCCCTTTATGGACTCAACGTCCTCATTGAGGTTTGCCCTTGCTGATGTGGCACGATTTATATAATGATAACGAAACTTACATAAATGGGACACAATTCGGGGCTCTGGAACAACACAATATCAACATGCAACTAAAACCCAAATTTTCTCAAAAATTAGAAATGGGACAGCAGCTAATTCAGCGTATTTACCAAAAACGGACGATCTACAGTAAAATCTGACAACACCACAATGTTCTCCTCGAAAAACCACTCAAGATAGCCTCAAAAATCACCAAAATCGGATCTAAAATGGCTAAGAAAACAAGTCTCAAAAATTTCCAAAATCAAGCTCACAAAAAGAGGTCTGGCAGCAGGTATTTTACGAAAATTACCTCAAACGGGGACTCCAAATCAATATCCGAGCTCACCAACACGTTGTCCTCGAAAAATCTCACAACTTAGCCTTTTGAATCACCCAAATCGGTTGAGAGATGAGAGAGATGAGGGTTTGAAGTTTGGAAATGTTGCTGGTATATCTGCAATAAATAGCAGATTTTTCTGCAATTTTCCAAAAAATTAAAAAAACTCCGACGGGGTGCTCCGACCTCGTTTGGAACCCCGTGCACGCAAACGAGATATGCAACCATACCAAATTCGACATTCCAGACTCAACGGCGCAGTTGAAATTTCTATCAGAGGTCATTTCGATAAAAAGTGGGTCTCACTTTCAAAAGCCCTTTTAAGTCAAAACCCACAAAAGGGCTCGGAAAGATATCGAAAACCTCCAGACACAAAAGAAGGGTCAATCTAGACCAAACTCGACATTCCGGAGCTAACCACGCTGACAGAATTCTCATCCGAGCGCGTTTACTCAGAATGTTGACCAAAGTCAAACTTAGGCTTAAACTTAAAGTTAAAACGCCTAATCGCACCGACTCACACTAAAAACCTCGGGAGTCATGTCGACCATGCTACTAGCCTAAAATGACCCTTCCGGAGCTGATGGAATCGTCGGAATTGGATTCCGATGTCATCTTCTTGAACTTTTGATCGAAAATGATCGTTCAAGGTTCATAAGCTCCAAAACACAAAAACTCGCACCAAGACCAAACAAACGACCAGGTGATCGAACTGTCAGTCCCAGCAAGTCATAAATGACTTGGGGTCGCTATAGGTGCAAGAGGAGCTGGTACAAGTGTCTTGCCTTCTGTGTGTCGTTTAGAGCGTTCCTATAGCGACCCCAAGTCATTTATGACTTGCTGGGACTGACAGTTCGGTCACCTGGTCGTTTGTTTGGTCTTGGTGCGAGTTTTTGTGTTTTGGAGCTTATGAACCTTGAACGATCATTTTCGATCAAAAGTTCAAGAAGATGACATCGGAATCCAATTCCGACAATTCCATCAGCTCCGGAAGGGTCATTTTAGGCTACTAGCATGGTCGACATGACTCCCGAGGTTTTCAGTGTGAGTCGGTGCGATTAGGCGTTTTAACTTTAAGTTTAAGCCTAAGTTTGACTTTGGTCAACATTCTGAGTAAACGCGCTCGGATGAGAATTCTGTCAGCGTGGTTAGCTCCGGAATGTCGAGTTTGGTCTAGATTGACCATTCTTTTGTGTCTGGAGGTTTTCGATATCTTTCCGAGCCTTTTTGTGGGTTTTGACTTAAAAGGGCTTTTGGAAGTGGGACCCACTTTTTATCGAAATGACCTCTGATAGAAATTTCAACTGCGTCGTTGAGTCTGGAATGTCGAATTTGGTATGGTTGCATATCTCGTTTGCGTGCACGGGGTTCCGAACGAGGTTGGAGCACCCCGTCGGAGTTTTTTAATTTTTTGGAAAATTGCAGAAAAATCTGCTATTTATTGCAGATATACCAGCAACATTTCCAAACTTCAAACCCTCATCTCTCTCTAATTCTCAACCGATTTGGGTGATTCAAAAGGCTAAGTTGTGAGATTTTTCAAGGACAACGTGTTGGTGAGATCGGATATTGATTTGGAGTCCCCGTTTGAGGTAATTTTCGTAAAATACCTGCTGCCAGACCTCTCTTTTTGTGAGCTTGATTTTGGAAATTTTTTAGACTTGTTTTCTTAGCCATTTTAGATCCGATTTTGGTGATTTTTGAGGCTATCTTGAGTGGTTTTTCGAGGAGAACATTGTGGTGTTGTCAGATTTTACTGTAGATCGCCCGTTTTTGGTAAATACGCTGAATTAGCTACTGTCCCATTTCTAATTTTTGAGAAAATTGGGTTTTAGTTGCATGTTGATATTGTGTTGTTCCCGAGCCCCGAATTGTGTCCCATTTTGGGACATGAGCTGGGGGAAACTGGTTAGGACCCACTTTTGGGGTTAATTTTGGAATTTCCTGCGCGGGTCCCACGATTCCCGTTTTGACTCCAAAATTGACCCGTCTCCGTTTGTTGTGATTTTGGTGTCTAAACGACCGTATTAACGTTGTGACTCTATTTTTGATAGCGGGGAAGCGTTTCGAGACCGTTCAGAAAGGGAAAGCTCCGAAAGAGTGATTTTAGAGCGCGTGTGATCGGCCTACAGGTAGGCTACAGTTTTCCTCTCTTAGATTGAGCTCGAGAATGTGAATCCATGTTGATTAGTTGGGATTTGGGTTGGGTAGTTATTGAATCTTGCATAGGTGTTAAGAAATCATGTTTTCGGCCTATTTCTAGAATTATCGGGTAACTGTGAGCATGCTTTGTGTTATTAACGGACCCTCCTCGCTATGTGGAGTGCTTGCATGCTTAATTATTGTTTATTTGAAGCATGTTGGGCCTTAGTTTAGGTTTGACTAGGGCTTGCTTTAGAAATACATGATTCGGATCTGATAGGCCTTAGTTTTGCCCCGACGTCGCTCGGCCGACTTAGATCCCTGTAGACTGGTGTAGCAGACTTGAGTCTGATAGATTGGGCCTTAGTTAGGCGATACGCTTGCTCCGACTTTAGTTATCCTTATTTTCCCCGATGTTACGGCTTCACGAGTTACGTCGGTGACACTAGTTCTACTTCGCGATTTGAATTTGATTTTCGATTTGGTTCCAAGGATTTACATTTATTGGCTAAGTATGGACGGCGTTCCACGGACATTTACGAGTGTGGATCGATTAGGACTCTTTCAGCAGCTACATTGGCACCTTTATAGAGCATCCGGTTTAAGGTCCGGCCTCTATTGCCCAGTTACTTATATAGAGCATCCGGTTAGAGTTCCGGCCTCTATTGCCCAAATACTTATATAAAGCATCCGGTTAGAGTTCCGGCCTCTTATACTTGTTACTTGTGATTGGTTACTTGGGTATTTCTTGTGAGCATCTGGTTCGAGGTCCGGCCTCCGTACTGTCAGATTCTACTAATTAAGGTTGAGGTTCTGGTTTGATGTTCTTCGTTCTTGGGTTCTTTTATGCAATTCTCTTTAGGTATAGTTATTTTGTGTACTCGTCGGGCTTATGGGGGTCCGTTCGGGTTTTTATTTAATTTGCGCACGAGTGTACCTTCTAGGCTTATGGGGGTCCAGTTAGGTGTAGTTAGCTTATAGATTACTTTAGTTAGTTCTTTGTACACTCGTGTGCATTCCCTTGTTAGTTAGATTTTAGTTCTTGACTTCGATTTGTGTTATTCCTTCTTTTCATATTGCCTTTACTTTTCAAGTTCAGTCGGCCTATGATGCCTACTGGGTACCTGTTGTTTTGGTACTTATGCTACGCTCTGCATCTATTTCGTGATGCAGGTCCGGGCACTAGTAGCCAGCGTTGATCGAGCTTGGAGCAGACTGATCCGGGACGGGAGCGAGCACACGACGTTTTGTACTATTTCAGTTTCCATCTGTATATATAGACTTGTCTTTTACCTTTCGAGACAGTCCAGTCTTTGTTGTCTACTTTTGGGACTTTTACTCATTTTGTTAGTAGCTCTGTACTAGTGACTTCCAGGTTCTGGGAGGGATCTTTATTTGTATATATGTTTTTGGTTTGCTTCCGCCTGTTTATATTGTTATTTGTCTACTCTTGTTTAGTTTCTACCCTTACACCCATTACTTGTTGTTCCGGGTTACGGGTTGGCTTACCTGCTGGTTGGTTATAGTAGGTGCCATCATGACTTGAGAAATCGGGTCGTGACACATTCATGATTAATTAATCACATAATTGATTCGTTCTGCTATGCCCTTTTTTTCCCTTTATTTGAAATTGAATTGCATCGGACAAATTAAATTTATAGAAGACATTTGCGGAAGAAGATTTGTAAACGAAACGGAGATGTATTTAACCCATAAAACGCATTTCAGGAATGCGATTTATGAACAAAACTAAAAACACTGTTTCTTTTGATATAATTTTTTTTTAATTATTATTATTAGTACTTAATATTTTGAAAAACGGCATGAAAACTCTATTTTTAGAAATTTTAACCAAGATCATTCACCAAATTGGCAACTCGTTGTTCCTATTTATATGTCATCATTTTAGACTCCACGTCCATTAACCAAGATCATTCACCAAATTGGCTACTCGTTGTTCCTATTTATATGTCACCATTTTAGACTTCAGGTCCATTAAGAAATTAGGTAAGTTTATTATTGTACCCTTATTTAGTATTTTCTTTTAAAGTCAAGTTTTTGATAAATAAGCATAAATTAATTTATTTTGATTAATTAAATTGACCAATGAACAAATACAGTAAAACCTCACTAAATCAATACTCGGTTAATTAATAATCTCTCTAAAATAATAATTTTCTCTGGTTCCGACTTGGGCCAATGAAAAAAATCATTCATTTCGATAAGATAATAAGATAATATATTTTTAGAAGACCCTTATATCAATATTATAAATTAATAATTCTTTAAAAGTACAAATATATCTAAGAAATTTAGTGAAATATGATTCTATTATGTTCTTCTTTTTGTTAAAATTAAATCTAGTTGAAACTCATTTCTAACTTTTCTTATTGCATCCAAAAGTTTCGGTGTTGTCTTTTCTAATATCACCATAAAATTTTGAAGAGTTCTAGATGCAAGTGTTTTCTTACGCGTAACTGGTTCCAAAGGTATTGTATCATCTTCAATTTTATCATCAACATTGTTTTACTAATGATATCCACAATTTGTTCTAAGCTCTGGACCTTTGAACATGTATCATTTTCACCCATTCAATAGGTTATTAACGTCCATTTTATTGCAGTAACCGAGATCATTAATCATGATCTCAAGTTCACGAATGACATTTTCACAAGTGGGTTCTTTCAAATTCTTTGAGATTTCACCCCTAAACAATTTTTCGATGTCAAAAATCTCTTTAAATTAATAAATATTAATTTATCGATTAAATAATACCTCTACAAAATAATATATTTCATGGTCCCTCCTGTATTAATTTAGAGAGGTTTTACTATATTAATCATTTAGTTTTTCTATGTTAGTCAGATTCGTATTTTTAAGGCTAAGAACTCTCTCAAGGGCAAGATAGGAAAAATAATATAATTTATGCATTGATTTTATGAAATGACATATATTAATGACCATTTATTTTTAATAAGGACAACATATATATAAATAGAAAGAGAGAATACTTGACAAAATTGAAATGTCTAAGATATTAATGCTGTAATAATTAGTGGGAAAATGATGGATCTAAATATAACGTACATTATCTATATTTTTCCAATAAATTCTGTAGGCTGCGGCCTTCAATTTTTGTTTTACTTTGAGGATTCGTACGGGTTATTGAAAAGTATTTCTTCCATATCAAATTTACAAATTATCTACCATAATTTTTTTACATGTTTTACAATAAATATTAATTAGAAGGAGTTTTGATTATTTTATTTTTATTTACGACTTAAGATTTAATCTCATTTCATTGAATATTAACTCTCTTTACGTATCGTTATTCATTACTCTATAATTGAAGTGATTTTAGTTTTTCAATAAAATTAATTAATACTAAGGGCAAAATAAAAAAAGAATAAATAATTTTATTTGAAAGTTCTAAAATTACAAAAATTATTGAAATAACAATTTTTAAAAATCACAACAAATAATTTAAGATGGATTAGGTATATATTTATCTAAAATATGTATTTCCTCCCTGATCTATAAAATTTCGGCTCTTTGTACCTCCCATTTTAATGTTCTTGTACAATCAATTATATTCTTTATTTTTTAATTCGATGTTTAATATTAAATAAATCGACATACAAAATAAAATCCATTAAAAAGAAAAATACTCCTTATCAAGATTTTTCCATATTTTGACTATTATGTTCTTTTTTTTGTCAACTTGTTATTTTTAAAGACGTACGATTTTTCTAAGTTGAATCTTAGTCTAGTCTAACTACAATGTACGTGGATTTTCTATACAGAAACTCAATCTATATATGGAAAGGGTCGGGTATCAAAGCCCCTTGACTAAGTTGGAGTTAAAAAATTCACTTTATTATTACTCGATTCTTAAAAAGAGAAATGATTTTTTCAGCTAGTGCTTACATATATAAGAGCGCATTTTGATTTTTCCTTTACTAGTAAAGGATCCCATGATTCTCGTGGCATGGTGTTTTCTGATCATTTTCTTTTAGTGTTTCGATCTAAAGCAATATAATTATTTTTACTCTCTAATTAAGAATGTAAAAATTCTATTTTATTTAATGTAAAAAAAAGAAAGTAAAAAGTACTACTGCTTGTCTACTTTATTACTAGCTAGACCGTCTATCCAATTGTCAACTTAATTAACAACTAGGTTAATATTCCATTAATGCCACCATCTTCAAATCTTTGCATTTTCCATGCTATAAATAAAGGCAAAATATTCATTAGTTTCCTCATCTTCTTCACATTTAATTATCATAACACAAGTAGTAATAGTTATAAAGTTTTTAAGCAAGAAAAAAAATGGGATTAAAGGTATTTATCCTTTTAAGCCTTGCTTTGGCTATTTGTGTAACTTTAACATCAGAGGTTGCAGCTAGGGAGTTGGCTGAGGGCTCCACAAATACTGTGGAAATTAGTAAGCTTTCCTTCGTATACTATCAGTGTATATATATACGTTGATATTGTATGCGCGTATATACAATGTATATGCTACATTTTGAAAGAACTTATACAAAAAAAATTATCGCTATTTTTTTACAATTAAAAGGGGAGTAATTAATCTCGATAATTATGAGAGAAAAAAAATATATCGCTAATATAAAAAGCTTTTTTTTGTTAGATATGTTATATATAGTTTTGATAAAGAAATTTTTTATTAATTTTGTTTGATAAGAAATAAATTATAAGAAAATAAATAAAAGAAACTAATTAAAACTCGACAATTAGAGTCGGGTGGGTTGACTATGACCCATTGTTTAGCTTATTTTAATTTATTTATAATATTGACCCAAAAGATTCAATCCATTACCGTCCATATTTAGTTCAGATCGCCTATTTTATATCCCCTTCCTTATAGTAGTAATAGAGTCAAACAAAGGAAGATTACACTCATTTTGTACTGACTGACTCTAATTTTTTAATTTCCCTTTAGACTTAATAAAATATTGAGCCTATTTTACTAGGTTCATTCATCACTAGTATTTTCGACACATAACTTTAATGTATACATGTGGTTTTTTTCGAAAAGATTTCAATAAATATTTATGTTTTGAACGCAATAAATTTAAATCTTGAACGTGCTTATGACTATAGTGACTATCCCCACTAACATGAACATGCATGCTCATATATTGTTGCATCAGACAAATCCGAGATGGAAAATGAAGTAAATGAAGCTAAATATCCAGGCGATGGATTCGGAGGAGGTTATGGAGGGTTCCCGGGTGGTGGATATGGAGGGTACCCGGGGCGTTGGTATGGAGGAGGCGGATACTGTCGCTTTGGTTGTTGCCGGAGAAATTTCTATGGTGATGGTGGTTGCTTAAGGTGTTGTTACCCAGGAGAAAGTTGAAACTATAAAGTTACTCAAGCTATTTACTAAGTAATATGTATCGTGTGTTTTAGTAGTAATACTTTTGTTGAATAAATGGTCTGAAAAAATCGAGGGTCAATCAGAAACATATTCTCTATCTTATAAATGACTTCCATCCTCTCCAGCTTTCCGTTGTGAGATCATAGTTGATATGTTGTTGTTAGTTTTGTTGAATAAATGTATCCTCCATTCACTTATGGTCAATGAGAAATAATATAATTAATTAAGCAATTTAATATATATTATTTATAATGATTTTAAATGAGATTGTTACATAGTTCAATATGTATAACATATTGTAATATTCAAGATGTTTTTAACTCAAACTCACGTTATTCAGAGTTTATAACCATGATAAATAATAATAATAATAATAATAATAATAATAATAATAATATTTTGTAATGGGATAAATAATCCTGTGATTTTGATATAATATTTAGGGCAAATTATAGAAATCACATACTTTAAAGGCAAAATTACAATTTATCTCTTAAAAGTTTATAATTACAGAAATCCCTCATTTTCGCGTATCAAATTAGTGTATCAGCGCTTATATTATTGTATCTCGCACATCAGATTAATGTATCAACGCTTATATTATTGTATCTCGCGCATCAGATTAATGTATCAGTGCTTATATTATTGTATCTCGTGCATGTATCAACACTTATATAGCTCTAATACATTAATCTGATGCGCGAGATACAATAATATAAGTGTTCATACATTAATTTGATGCGCGAGATACAATAGTATAAGCGCTGATACATTAATCTGATGCGCGAAAATGAGGGATTTTGGAAATTTGTAAAACTTATAGGGGATAATGGTAATAAGTAAACTAAAATGTGGGATTTCTGTAATTTTTCCTAATATTTATCGTGGTTTTAGGTAATGTCCATTCGCAAATACCAAACAAATTTAATTCCGTATTTTCTATTGAAATAATCCCCTAATCAAACGATAATTTTAAACTTTATTTGATTAGAAAGTGTTAATTAGAAACAAGTCACTTCTCCATGGTCTAAATAAAATTTACTAATATATTTAAGGGGCTAACAATGTATTAATTAACCCTAAAATTTAATAAAGGTGACAAATGGTAATTTAGGTCCATCTTGTTCGAACGAAAACGGGTCAAGTAAATAAACGGCATCAAGACCCGCCCCGAAATTAGATCAAAATGGATTGGGTAAAAAAATAGCAAATAACTGGTCATAATATAACCCTAGCATTATTGAAAATTTTAATTTTAGTTAATACTTTAAGCTTAAGCTAAATATCACAGATAAAGTTGAAAATTTTAAAATAATGATAATATAGGCTGCCTCGCACGGCTAGCGGTAAGGTAGCGGTGAGCATGGTACGATATTGAAAAGTTTAATTCAGTAATTTTGGTTTACGATTTTTAAAAATACTATACCACTATCATATCAAATTAATTTGACTTAGTTCAATATTTTAAATCTCGATTTCAATATTTTACGGCTACGATAAATTGAAAAATCGATAAAGCCCAAACCATGGTGAAAAATTTCAATTTCGATATGATATGATATTCAGTATCTACCATATCATGTCCACCTTTACCGCAAAGGCACGACTTGACCCTTGCGGCCATGTGCATATGGTTAATGGCCGGGTGTCCGGCCAATGCACTAGGGCAAAGGACAATATAGGTGTGGCCAATGTGCAACAAGAGATGACGATTACGGCGACAATAACACAGTAAAATTTCACAAATGAGATTTGGTGATAATAGAATATATATATAAATATTATTCACACCTCGTGAAGATAGGAACATTATTTACGAAAGACCCTCGACTCAAATGTCAAGTTGATAATTTGTGCAAGTTGACCTTTTAAACGATATATAGACTTTTCAAGATGAGATGAAAATACATCTTGCTTTTATTAAATGAGAAACTAATTGGTCTTTAACTCTAAGATCTAAACACATGCTAGAGAAACTAATTCCTAAGTATAATCACTCTTCGTTTAAAAGGAAAATCATTAATTCCAACAACTATTCCTTAAATAATGTTCAAAGCAAACTAAATTCTAATCAATTTTGCAACTAAAGAATAAATATAGACAAGTCCTAACCCCTAATTAATAGGCTAGAATTAGTGGGGCTGGTAATTAATTAGAAAAAATTGTATTAGCTTGGGCTAGATAATTAAGATGATCGATATAGCTAGTACCATAACTCTCACAGGGTGGAGATAAAACACTAATCTTAAAAAATTATACTGTGTACCTTAGGTACCCATTCATACTATTTTAATTTCATCTGAACTCTCTTTGCTGGAAAATCATATTACATGTGTAAGGTTGAAAAATTATGTGCATTTCTTGCTCATTTTTCTTGTCTATTTTCTTGAAATAAAATATTTACAAACATAATTTGCTGTTAGTGAATGTTTAAAATTTTAAATTCTGAAACCACTTTTTGAAAGAACACCACTTTTGTTAATCTTAATTATGATATATTTCCAGCTTATTAGTCGGGCTCTAATGCAAATACCGAACATCATATGGAAAAAAAAAACATCCATAATAATAGCTTAGATTGAGGAAAATGCCATATATATACTAGTTATTTAAGATAAATCATTTTGTAGATGCTTTATTGAAAAGTCTGAGTTTGAAAAAGTCAACCAATTAATCTGTCAACTTAACTTGTAAGTAGTCCATAACATCATTACTCCGATATATACAAAAATGTTCATATGATTATTCTATAAATAGAGGCAAACTGGTCCTTAGTTTCCTCATCCTTCTTATAATTATCACAAAATCGTCAAGTAGTAGTTATATAAGATATATATGGTTTGAGACAAAAAAAAATGGGATCAAAAGCATTTTTCCAAATTGTTTTGGCTATTTTACTTGTGATAACATCAAAGGTTGCAGCTAGGGAGTTGGTTGAACGTAAGTTTATTTCTTACTACTATATATCTTAATTAATTTTAACTTCATATTAATACTATCACATATTATTATTAACATATGATCATACATACTATTAAATATTATGATCAAATATGTTGTGATCATCACAGAGTTAATAATACGTATATTAGCTTTCTAAACAAAGTAGTACAAGCTAGTTAATTAACATGCATATGTTTGATTATTGGTGCATGTAGCAAAAACATCCGAATTGCCAAATGAGGGCCCCAAATTTATAGGAGGTGTACAACCAGGATTCGGAGGAGGCGGATATGGAGGAGTATTCCCAGGAGGAGGATATGGTGGATATCGTGGTGGTGGATACCCTGGTGGTGGATATGGTGGATACCCTGGTGGTGGATATGGTGGATACCCTGGTGGTGGACGAGGATACTATGGAGGCTATCCAAGAGGAGGATATGGTGGATTTAATCCTGGTGGTGGTTATGGCGGAGGAATGTATCCTGGAGGTGGTTGGTATGGAGGATTGCCTCGCAACTAATTAATTAATTGCATGCACCTCTGATGTATCAGTTATTGTGTCCATAGTAAATATTGATGAGAAGCCGAGTGGATAACGGATGACTATGGCTATTTATATATTTTACTTTATGTTTTAGTAAAGTAATAGTTTTGTTGTTGGAAGTATGAATAAATGTATAATAAATCTCCATTCACTTACTACTATGGATGGATGGTCATGTCTTGTTTTTTTCTTTTTATATAAATGTATGAGAATCCAACTTATATAAATCTCTTTCCTTTTACATGTAATTGTCATCTATATATTTAACTAGTGAAATACAAGTCATTTTGCATTTTATTTTATTTTTGCAAAAAGCATTTGAAACTTAGATGTGTAGTATTTTATCGATTTCAAAATATATACGGAGGACTTAAATCTTAAGGTTATCAAAAAGTATTGAGAATGTATTTATACGTATGTAGTTAGTCATAGTTAGTCATACTAATTAGTCATGTTAATCCAGCTTGATTAGTTAGTTGTAGTTTGTTATAACTGTCAGTTTGTTATTCTGTTAGTAACGCTATAAATACACATGTGCATGTATGAGTTTCATTGTGAAGTCTTATTCAATAATACAGTTTCTTTTCCTCTCTTCCCTTCTTTGTATTGACTTCTCCCTCACATGTGAGTTCCTCCATTGATGCTAGTATTCCAAAGCTTGAGAACTAGCTATGAATCGCTGAATTTGACATGGTATCAGAGCCGATCATCAATATTTCTAGCTCTCTCTGTTTCTCAGCTTTCTAGCAATTATTAGCTATTGTTAGTTTCTCTTTTATATCTCCATCACAATGCCTGATACTGCTACTACTTCGTTACATGCAATTGCTACTGTTTCGTCTAATTCCATTGATACGAGTGATCCTTTTTACGTGCATCCCTTTGATAACCCTGGATCATTGATTGTTCTTGTTCCCTTTGATGGAATGGGCTATCGATCCTGGAGAAGAAGCATCCTTCGATCACTTTCTGTGAAGAACAAATTAGGATTTGTTACTGGAGATTGTAAAAAGCCTGCTACGAATTCTCCCCAATTGCGTCTTTGGCAGAGATGCGATGACATGGTGACGTCCTGAATTTTGAATTCGCTTGCCAAGGAGATCGCAAACAGTGTTGAGTACATTAACAATTCAGTCGAATTGTGGAAAGAATTAAAGGATCGTTATGACCAGGCTAATGGTGAGAAATTGTATCAGCTCCAAAAGGAGATCAATGATCTAAATCAAGGTGTGTTGGACATCACTTCCTACTACACCAAGATGAAGAAGCTGTGGGAAGAACTAAACAATTTGATCGCCAAGTCTCAATGCACTTGTGCCTGTGTTTGTGGCGCCAAGGATAGCACACACAAAGCTAAACATGATAGGCGCCTAATTCACTTTTTAATGGGCCTTAATGAAGTCTACACTGTCGTCTGAGGCAGTGTTCTTATGATGAATCCCCTACTTTCAATGGCACAAGCATTTTCAATACTGATACAAGAAGAGAAACAAAGAGAGTTTAAACCTATAAGCCAGATGTTAATGGACTTTGTCTCTCTCAATGTAGGTTCTTCTAATCCAAGGAATTTTAAGACAAATTACTCCACATGAAATGGCACCTCCAACAAGGGAAACC